TGTAGGTATCCATTTTGATATCAGGCTGGTAGGCGTCCTGCCATGTCTTATAGTCTGTCATTTTTTCATGATTTGCTGTATCCTAAGATGAAAATGGAAGTACCGGAACTTGCATATTTAATTGTTGTGGAAAATCACAAGGAATAAAATTCGGTTTGTTCTTTTTTTTGTTTGCAGAGTAAGAGTCGGCAATCAACCGCCGGACAGAGCTCCATGCCCGGAAAGGGTAGGCGCGCTCGAGCAGACTATCAGGGGCTACGCTGATAAATTAGGCGGCCATGTAGTTGAGCCTGCCATTGGATTAACTTTCGATTCTTTGGGTGAAGCATATGATTTTTATAACCTTTATTCCTAGGAGCATGGTTTCGGTATTCGGTAAGGCAAAAGCCGCCTGAATGCAGAGAAGACAAAGTGTATGCAAGAAGTGGTTTCCGGCTGTTCGGGTTAGTTTCCAGTCATCATTTGAGAGATGCGAAAACACTACTGGCAAACATAACGTGTAGCTGCAGCTAATTTGATTGTGTTTGATGGTCGTATTTCCGACAGGGCAAACCGACAAAGGAGAAACAGCAGGTCATGTCGCTGCGAGTGCCCGGTCATGATCAAACAGCTTAGAACATCGGATAATGGCTGGTACGTTACAGAACACAGGGCGAACCACAACCATGCTTTGACGCAGACATGCGGAGAGAAGGTGAATTGGCCATCGCACAAGAATATAGATGTATACACAAAGGATCTGGTCAAGCAGCTTCAGCAGAACAATGTCAATGTAACAAAAGTGTACAGTATAATATCAAGTTTGTATGGGGACGTCGATAAGGTTCCATTTACCAAAAGGACACTGTGCAACTCATGCGGCAAGATTAACAAGGAGCAAGCAGAGGATGATGTGAGGAAGACAATTGATGTCTTTGCTGACATAGCCGCTAAAGGCCAAGAGTTCGTTTTCCGGGTGCAGAATAATAGCAAGGTTTTTTTTGGAGACGTAGATAAGGTTCCATTCACAAAAAGAACTCCTAGAATCTGTGTTGGCCAAGGTTTTGGTTACCAGTCGAAATTTCAAGATTTCCCATGGTTACCGCGTATTTCCGTGCCCCTCGGTAAATCGCCATACCGAGCAAAAAATACCAGTTTTTTGAAATTTTTGAATTTAAACACTCGATTTACAGTAAAGTACGTAGGATCTAATTAATGCCATTAGAGTTGGTTCTGGCATGTTCGTAGCAACCTAGTTCCTGTTTTGAGAGGTCTCTAGTTCGAATATTCGTTCATTCACTTATTTGAATTCAAAATTCAACTATAAAATTCGCTCGAAATATTCTCGGTATTTGTCGGTAACCGTGGTAACCACGTTTACCCGTCCCCCTCGGTAAAATTGCCTCATTCGGTAACCAAAACCTTGGTGTTGGCTCCCTCAATCAGCTGGCCAAGCTCTGGTGTGCTCACATCAGGCTTGGCTTGGAGCGCTGACAGCTCCACCTTTACATGGTATGTACCCAAGTTCATCTGCATCTGCTCTCACTTTTCTAGATTTGTTCCTATTACAAAATGCTTAGGTTCAATCTAGTGGGAGGGTTCAGTAGATGGTGAAGTTAGCCATGGGCTTGAGGGGGAGAACGTTGTCGCCGAATCATATCTGCAAGCGGACCAGGAGGTAGTCGTCTTGTGCCAGGACGATTCAGGATAGGTTCGCGAGATTAGGAAGATCTATTAATTAAGCTGTGAAATGCTGCACTTTGCGCTTCAGGCTGAGTAGAGTTATTTTGATTTTATGGACGCAGGTGCCGCCGCCGGCGGAGTTGGATCTACACAGAGCACTCGCGGAAGCTGCAGGGGTAGATCAGGACGACGTTGACCACGCCGAAGAAGTTGTAGCACAGCACGACGCCGAGCCACATCTTGTCGATGCGGAGAAGCTGGTTATTGAAGAGTATGAGGAGGCTGTGATGGTTTGGGTGACAAACTAAGAATCAAAGAGCGAAGAAATGTCTAGCCACAAGCGTCGTCACGTGTGCTAGACTAGGAAACAAGTCAATCGACCAGTTGGCTAGGTTTTTACAATTAAGTGCATGTTTTTTGTGTTCATGCCACGGTGTATTTTGCTGGGCTCTTCTTAGTGTCCATTGCTTGGTGGGGCTGTCTTCAAAAAAGTTGACATTCAAGCGTGGCAGATGAATTAGCTTTGCTATTAATGTTCAACTATGTCATTTCAGATGAACTGAATTGTGCAG